CAGAGCTGGTCTCAAGCCACTCATCGCCCAGACTGTATTTGTGCTTGAGGTTTCCCCGAACCAGGTGCAGGACCTTGCTCTTGGTCTTGTTGAACTTCATGAGGTTAGCACCGGCCCACCTCTCAAGCCTGTCAAGGTCCCTCTGGATGGCATCTCATCCCTCCAGCATGTGAACCGCACCACACAGCTTGGTGTCGTCGGCAAACTTGCTGAGGGTGCACTCAATCCCACTGTCCATATGACTGACAAAGATGTTGAAGAGCACTGGTCCCAATACCGACCCTTGAGGGACACCACAAATTTACCTGACATTTATCAGAGTGTCACTGTTTTCTGACTTCCTTGTAAGTTTTATCCAGCCATGAAATATGGATCAGATTGTCATACATCAGGCTAACTGAAGTGTCTAAAATCAAACTGTGCCTTTCACACCTACTGAGGCCTGACCCTATGTTATACCATATAAGATTGAATATCAGAGGTTTCTACAACATGAAAATCACTATGCTGCAGCTACCAATTAACTAAGATGTCTAACTTTGTAGCCAAGCATGAGATACATATTGGTTAAACAAAAAAGTTTCAATAATTATAAAAAAATACCTTGAATGTAAATTGCTCATTGAAAACAGGGTTAAGGGTCTTTCTGTGGACTTTTGTCTCATATTTCTTCTTCTTATCAGGCAGCAGGAAAACCTTCACATAGGGATCAGATGTACCACCCATATCTAATGCAGGCAGCTCAGCTGCTTGAATAATCCCAACCAGAAGCTGAAAGAAGAGAAAAACATCAGAAAGAAATTTCAAATAGATATTTATATAAAAAAATGGTAACAGAGAAACACATGAAGACTCTATTTCTGGTCTATGAAATACTACTCCCACACCCTCCCCTTCAAGGAAGGCAAATGAAGCAACACTATAGACTTCAGAAAACCAATTACAGCAGATGCAGACTGTACAAAGGCTGTTTTTATGCAGAAAAGAGGTTTTCAAAGGGCAGCTGATTACAGCTAAATACAGACTTCATCTTTTTAAAGACTGCAATCAAATAACTTTCAATTGCTCTCTCCTCTTGTGCATTATCTTTCTATGCTGGGCACCATGAATAGAAATCACACTATTAAACAATCAAGAATGTCTAATCTTGACTACAAAATTTGTATTCTAAATCCCCAACATGTAACCTTTCCCCCCAACCAAACACAAAAAGGTGATATATAAAATGCAAATCCTCAAGCAGAGCTTTATGGATTTTGCAGTCTCCCTTATATTTAACTTCTCTTGCTGTGTATACAAATGGGTTTAGTTAGTAAACTAAGGGCAGCATTTTTAAAAAATACCCCATGAAAACTAACCTTTGGTAACTAAATCCTAGAAAGGAAGGCTTGTGTTGTGTTGTGTTGTGTTATGTTTGTTACGTTACGTTACGTTACGTTACGTTATATGTTATCCAGACATTCTAGCCTGTATTAGGATCCATCAGTACAACGGAGTTGAGAGAAAGAAAATACTTTTAATCTTGTTTCATAGACACAGAACTAAGGTAAACATTCAAATGACTCTTCAAGGTCAATCTCGAGACAAGATATTAAGAACTGGGAATGAAATCTGAGAATATTTTTTTCTAAATCAGTTCTTCAGTCACAATATATCTGCTTCTCTCATGGATGAATTCTTTAAAATTGGAAACAGAAGCTCTAACAACTGGAATACAGAACAATACAGTCAATTTAGGAAAGAAGCTTCTGAGACATTCCTCAAAGTTGGACTTATTTTTACCAATTTTAAATTCACAGTGTGACCTGCATGCTTTCTGACCTATAGGAGTCAAGCTCCATGAAATACTTTCCTTTAGCTGTAAGAAACACTTCTTTTCTCTCTCATTATTATTCTAAAGCATAACAGTTCATAAATACATGGACAGGCTGAGGATCTACATCAAGTCTTTCATATCAAAAAGCGAAAAACAAGTCTATGACTTCTAGTTAACAGAGTGGAAAAGCAATTCAATTCCCTTTCAAAATTCCTGTCTCTAAAACTGAGGCATCATGCTCTGGAGAGTGCATCGGTCATCTTGTCTCCATTCTTAACTCTGTGCAACATATTAGCCACATTTTTCGTCTGTAGTTTCATGCCACTGCACTATACTAACCTAACTGAATCCCCTCTTCTACTCTTTTATATCATCTATCCTCTGACAAATTCCAAGCTGCAACATAATTTAGAGCAGCAAAATAAAATAGGAATCTGTAACTCAAATAATTTATTACCTTAATTAAATACTACACACTTCTACAGATTTGTTGCTCTCCCATTCTATTTCCCTTTGTAAAATATAGTTCACAAAATCAACATTTCCTTTAATAAAATTCACACAGAAAGTTTGTTTTCATATTCTAAGGAAAGTGAAATCCATTTGTTAGAACGCATTTGCAGCTTTCCTTTCCCAGTCTTTATATCTTCTGCTTCTGAAGGGTCTAACGCTTCATTCTGATTTCATACTGATTTCAAGGGGGATCAGTGTGATTCATCACATGCCCAGGGAATTTGCTCTGGGAGTCAAGGAAAAGCTCCTTTAACCACAGGTTCTTGAAAGGCTTCAGAATTCTTTTTGGCTCTTGCATTGAAAAACAAGCACTAGTAGTTAGAAGATAGTTGAAAAAACATGGAAATACTATGTATTTTAACAGCTCCTATCTATGTGTAAATACCTTGCTGCTGACACAGAATTTTTTCTTAAATTCTCTTATTTTCTCTGTATTGCAACAAAAAAGTGTACTGCATTCCATGAACAGCACCAAATAAAGAATTGGAAATAATAATTGGAAATAAATCACAAGTACATGTGGAAGCCAGTTCAGATGAAGGACAGGAATTAAGAGGGATTTAAGTTCAGTAGTCATTTCTTTC